GTAGTAATGAGGTCTCGCCAAGTTGGCCAGGCTGGTGTCAAATCCATGGGCTCGGACAATCCTCACCTCAGCCTCCCAAAGTGCTGGGATTATAGACATGAGCTACCACACCCGGCCTTAGACCAGATTTTCAAAGAAAGACAAGGAAAAAACAGTAGTATTTATTACATTAGGTGCTGCCTCGAGTCTTTGCAAACAATAAAGTGGGTAATTTTTATCTTCTTATAATCAGTAGAACTCAGAAAGGTAAAGTAATTTGAGTTAGATCCATTTGCATTTATTACATACAACAGAAACAAATATCTGATGGCCACATCGCAGTAATAGCTGAGATATTTATGAAATACCAGCATGCTCTGGCGATGAACCAGCTCCACAGCAGCCAGAGTCCCCAAGCGTCAGGATTCTCTGTCTAAAACAATGTTAATGAAGCAGAAAGGACCGCATGAGGCCAGGAGCTTGAAACCAGCCTGAGAAACATAGTGAGACCCTGTCTCTTTAAAAACAAAAACAAAAAAACAACACTAGAACAGAACAGCATCCCAGATCAGAAGTTCATCCTTTCAACGCGGCCAACTTCCTCAGGAAGGCTAGAAATTTGCATTCTAATACAATTAGAAGCAAACCAGACCATTTATCTGGTAACATTTTAACATGATTTTCCAATGACCTTTGATGCAGAAGGTTAAAAATTAACTAAAAATTACCAATTGCTTGACATATTAAAAAGTTGCCACTGGAATAACCTGGAATTGTACATTTACTATTAGTCTTTTTTTTTCCCCACAGTTCTAACTATTATTATTATTGTTGTTGTTATTATTTTGAGTCAGGATGTCACTCTGTTGCCCAGGCTGGATTGTAGTGACACGATCATGGTTTGCCACAGCCTCAACCTCCTGGGCTCAGGTGATCCTTCCACTTCAACCTCCCGAGTAGCTGGGGCTACAGGCTCATATCACCACACCTGGCTAATTTTTTTTTATTTTTTGTAGAGATGAGGTCTCGCTATGTTGTCTAGGCTGATCTTGAACTTCTGGGTTCAAGCAGTCCTCCCACCTTGCTCTCTCAAAGTGCTGGAATTACAGGTGTGAGCAATTGCATTTGACTCCACCATAATTTTTAAAAGACAGAAAAATGCCTTGGAATTAGAAAAAATTGCCTTAAGGAAGGAGTATGTGAATCTTTCATGTTGAGTTTTTGCTCCCTTCAATCTCAAAGAGACCACATAATCAAGGGGTATTGTACTGTACATGTTTTCTAAGTTCTTTCAAGTAGTCATTAGTTTTCCATAGACCATAAAGCAAGCCATTCAGTTCAGAGGGGCTGCATAGACAGAACACTGACAGATAAAATTATAATGTACCATGTACCATCTTTTTACAATACATAAAGATACTAGCAGGGGACCAACCTGGTGCCCATTCTAACCAGAATAGTGGAAATCCCACACTGGAGAAGATTTGTTGGAGCTATTTCTCACATGATCATTTATTATGGTGAGTCTTTTCATTGTGATGGTAATGGATTACCTTTGGTCAAACCAACCAACCTACCCATTTTGAGTTAAACATGTTAGAGGTGGAATTAGCAGTTATTTCCCACATAAAAACCTGAAGGCATGATCTTTCCTGGTCCTCAGAAATGGTGGGAAATGTTTCCTCCATGCCAACACCTGATTCAGAAAGAGAATCTGAGATTTCCTAGCTATAACTTCTGTTAAAAACTGTTTCTACTCTGCATTTTACTATTAGTAGCCCAGAAATTAATACTGTCTGAAAAAAAAAAACAACTTTTAAAAACTACAATGGGCTCATCAAGTGAGAAACTGTAAATTTTTCTTAAAATATGCAATTATTTAATATCTCACTTTCCAGAAGATTATTTCCAAATAATGCAAATCTCCCCTGGCTATTCTCCTTCACTGCCAGCAGGACTAATCAGTGTAATAACAAATCTAAATTGCAAAACTCTCTTGAAACTGAAGGATTGCAGGCTCCAAAAACTGCCCATGGCTTAAGCATTTCATACTCCAGTGGAAACCAGCCTGTACCAGATGATACCACCGTGTATAAAGATGGTACTTCCCCAGGCCATTGCCATGAAAGCTGGATATGAATTCTTGCATAGAGGCTAGAATCTAACCCATGTTAAGTACCTGCTACAGTGACAGGCATTATGCCAGGAAGTTACCTCATGATTACACCTGTGTGATGGACATTACGATTCCCCTCTGCAGGTAAGGGAAACTGAGGCCTCAAGACACAGAGAAGCTCATCCAGGGTCACACACCTTGAGAGGGTAGATTAGAGATTCAAAGTACTCAGTTACAGTGTCCATGTTCTTCCTACTAGGAAATCCTTTTTTCCTTATTTCAAAACTGGTTTAAGAATAACTACTTATTTTTGAGAATCGAATAGTAGATTGTAGTTTCCACTCCAGAGAACAACTTAAAATGACTTGAACAATTGGAAAACATCTTGTCCTTATTTGATTTTTTCTGGTCCATTAGAAAACCTGTTTAGTCTAATGACTGCACTTTCTTTTTTTTTTTTTTTTTTTTTTTAATTGGGGTCTCATTCTGTTGCCCAGGCTGGAGTGCAGTGGCACACTCGTGGCCACCACAGCCTCGACCTGCTGTGCTCAGGCGATCCTTCCACCTCAGCCTTCAAGTACTTGGAACTATAGGTGCCTGCCACCACACCCGGCTAATTTTTTGATTTATTGTAGAGATGAGGTCTCGCCAAGTTGCCCAGGCTGGTCTCAAACCCATGGGTTCAGGCAATCCTCTCACCTCGGCCTCCCAAAGTGCTGGGATTATAGGCATGAACCACTGTGCCCGGCCATGACTGAACTTTCAGCAAGCATTTCCAGGACACCTCTGATGAGGTGTCTCTGGTCAGAGACTGTACTAGACTCTGAAATGACAAGGCAGAATCCCTGCTCACAAGAAGCTCCTAGGCTTCCAGGAAGGCATATATGTTGACACATCAATACCTTTCAAACCCATCAGTACATCAAATTACATAGCTTGTGATTACTGACTGCCTAGTGTGTGCAGGCATTGTTTGAAAACATATCAATGTATGTAATCCTCACAACATATTATCCACAAGATGAGAAATGGGATACAAAGAGGTCCAGTAACTTGCCAAAAAGGTCACATGTTTGTAAGTAGAAGAGAAGGATTTGGACCTGATTTTCTGACCCCAGAGTCCATGGCCCTATCCGCCATGCCATACTTCTTTCCAGGGCTGGACTGGGATAAGGCATAATGAAAAGGGCGAGAAACAGAAGAGGGTCGGGAAGGCTCCAGGAAGATATCCTGGTCATCAACTGAGTGTGTGAGATCGCTCCTTTCTTTCTTTTTTTTTTTTTTTTTGATTTGGAGTCTCACTCTGTCGCCCAGACTGGAGTGCAGTGGCCACTCCCGGCCACCACAGCCTCGACCTGCTAGTCTCCAGCGATCCTTCCGCCTCAGCCTTCCGAGCAGCTGGAATTACAGGCATGCGCTACCATGCCCGGCTGATTTTTTGATTTATTGTAGAGATGAGGTCTCGCTGCCCAGGCGGGTCTCGAACCCACAGGCTCAGGCAATCCACTCACCTCAGCCTCCCAAAGGCGCGGGATTACAGGCTGAGCCACTGAGCCCGGCTGAGATCGCTCCTTTCTAAAGGGTATCCTTGTCCTGCCTTTCATCAGTGAAATTTTTTTTTTAAAAATTGGGTACACATCAGGATTGCATACATAAGTGGCTTAGGTACAAACTTAAAGCTTATCTCTGAGCATAGATTCTTACTTTTCAGTATTAGCAACGTAAATGGAAAAAAATTGTAACAAGGGCTAGAAAACCACTTCTAAGTTTTGTGTTCAGATTTTATTCATGACATGATTTTGTTAAGATATCATGTAATTCTTCTATTGATAAGTATTCAAAACAAATAAAATTACCTGGATGGATGACATTTCAAATTAGTTTAGGCTTATGCTAAGTCATTCTTCACTTTGAGTTTGATACTTAGAAAAAGCAAGGAGTCTGCTTTATAAATCTTTACTCCCCAAAGGCTTTTGTATTTATCATATTTAAATATTTATTAAAATGAGTTTTCAATTCATTAATAGCTACATTGTTACTAGGATACTTGGGGGAGGAGCCTGAAGCAGATGTTTGCTTAGTAATTGTGTCTGTTGGCAATTTTTTTTTTTTTTGAGTTAGAGTCTCACTCTGTCACTCAGGCTGGAGGGCAGTGGCATGCTTCCAGCCACTGCAGCCTCAACCTGCTGGACTTAGGTGATCCTTCCACCTCAACCTTCCAAGTAGCTGGAACTACAGGCACGTGCCACCATGCCCAGTTAATTTTTTGATTTATTGT